TTTTAGAATGATGTGTTGTTTTAGAAGAGCGTGGTAACGTTCACCATTTACAGAGCATATGTGTTGCCTATTGGGAGACCCGCTTTGAAAAATATTGGCGTGATAATGAAGAAAGGAAGTAAACCCATACACCACATGCAGATGCTTCATGCTCACATGGATTTGCAGTTGTCCAATTTTGTAGTTCCATGTATGAGCAGCTCCGTGAAGTGTAAGGTGTGCCTCTTCAGTTCACAATAAAATGAAAATAAATTAGGTTCAAGATGAACATGGCCAATTGAACCAAAGAATGTCAAGACGAGTTTTGTGGTCTGCTTCTTGGATCCACACTATGGCATTCTAAACAATAGATTATACCCAGCATGGATGTTGTCGAACAGGAGTCATTGTGAGGATGGTTTTACCTTCAAAATACTCACATTCCTACTTGAGCATTGTCTTCCTAACCACTAGCAAAACTTCACTAAAGCTGCTTCTTATTGGGAAAGGCTTGGTACGCTTAAAAGGATGAACTGAAAATATTTTGCAACAACCACTTTTATATAGTGCCAATAACATGTTCAGAATCTTATGGTGGCAAAATATTTTTTTTTGCTTTACTGTGTTTATCATGCCATGAAGAACATAACTTACGACATCCTGCCTCATGCATATTGCTATTTACATGTACGTATCGTTTTGCACAAATATCTGGATATTACTTAAATCATTTCATGAATGTTGTGTCGTATACATAAATGTAAGTGATACAACATGTACGAATCAACACTACTGTCAGAGTACAAATGAGGAAAAATAATAAAGAATTTGATCTAACTATTAAAGATGTTACACCAAAGGAAGATATGGCATACCTGATATGTTCATACATGTCGATTTTGACCGATTAAACTTTTGTGGATCAGATATCCTTTGATTTTGTCTAACTTGCATTGAAAATTCTTAAGCAAATTGCATGAAACTTAAAATAAACTGGTATATATTTCTTCATAAAAAGTTCGTATACTTTCATTTATTTTTTATATTATCGTGTATGTTGTGAAATTTCCAATTGTTGCGTGTCATTATTTAGAAAAACATTAAAAAATACTCCCTTCTATCTTAGCATTTCGACGTTTTAAATTTTTGATGAGAAAGTTCCATTTTACATATCCATTCCAATTTGATTAATATTCATTAATGTATTTATTTTGATAATTTATTTTGCCAAATGCAGTAGTCAACACTTCCGGCTATAAATCATAAAAAAACGCTACAAAAATTAATATAGCTTTAATAATGAATTAAGACCTAACCTTCCAAAATATTATCAATACTTTTGCTAGTAATATTCTTGGTAGATATCAATTTATATATATATATATATATACAGTTTATTTTCAATAGATAACATTATATTTTATTCATATCCATTGCTTGAATCAAATAAACGTAATAATAATATTCAATAAATATGAATTTGAGCCATCAAAGTATTTTGATGTCACCTACTGTACCCATTGAACTTTGCTAAGTTTACATGATGTCTTGTCATATAAGAAAACTTCCATAGTTTTCAAACAAATATAATGTAGCATGAAAATATTTTAAAAATGAAATGAATCTTTAAGCAATTTTTAAAAAAATTTTCAAATCTGTGGTTTCATCCCAAGTTATGTAATCTTTCCATTAGATTCTTTTATTATTCTCTGTCTAGTCACTTCCCACCAAACTATAAATTACTCCTTCACAACTTAATTAACTCTACATTGACACAGATAGTTCATAATCTGTTCTATCAGATGGTATTTAAACTTTGCCTGTAACAATTTTCAAAGATGAACTTCATTAGTAGTTGCTTAGATCACATGCTTTGACATAATAAAATTTGGGAACAGAAGGAAATAAGTATAAGAAACAAGACATGGATAATTATATTCTCAGAGATGATAGTTGCTTAGTAAATATAAACTCATGTTTTTGGATGGGCAGAAAAAAAAAACATATTAGTGAGTTGTTTACAGGCGAGACTCTTTGGAAGTATTCAGAAATGAAAATTTGATTTGTTTTTATTTTCCTTGCAAATTACACTAAATACCCATAATAAAATAATGAAATATAAATTGTTAAATATTTCGGAATTAACAGTTATTGAAATAGTTATAATTATTATTTTTATTTACATTTTGAAATTTGATAAGCAGCTGTGCACCCGACACCAGAAGTGTCGTGAAAGGATTAACACAAACTCTTGTTCCAGCAAGTGATAACAAATTGAATATGAGTGGAGAGGCACATATCCAATTTTACATTAGCACTGTCACCTACTGAACAAAATGGATTGTCTATAATCATGGTTCAGGCATTGGGATTTAAGAAATGGATCTGTTACACAACTTATCTGTTGATTTTGCACATGCAATTGATTAACTGTATTTCCACTGAAAAACAACAACAACAACAACATCGGTTACTTGGTTATTGTTTTAATATATAGGTGATGTTGTGTTTGAACTTGCTTTATGGATCGGAACGAGTGCAGCAAGTGGTTTGGGTGCTGGATTTGCGAGTCCCCAGTGAGCTTCCTGTGAATGTAAAACAAAAAAAAGTAAAAAAAAAAAAAATCACTTTGGGGCCGTGTGTGCGTTATAAGGGTGACAGTCAAGTCCCGTATTCGGTTTGTTTGTTTGAAGTTATGCACAAAGCTACACAATGGGCTATCTGTGCTCTGCCCACCACGGTTATTGAAACCCGGTTTCTAACGTTGTAAGTCCGCAGACATACCGCTGTGCCACTGCCCGTATTCGGTTAGACAAGAGTATCCTAAGAGTTGGCGATAGATATCATTCACTAGTTTCCTTCCATGTAGCCTATCAGTTCAAGATTATGAACATCTAATACAAATAACTCTTGTGCAGATTGGAGCTAATTCAGAACCCATACAAATAAATCATTCTGGCTTACTTGTTATTGAGGTGGAATTTTTAGTAATTATTATTGATAGGCTACATAACTAAGATTGTCAAGAGAGTAGTAGTGATCAGTGTACGAGTGCTTTGAATTATCTTATTTGATATCCAGTACTGGACAAAGTTACTTCTTGCAAATTTAGTAAGATAGTGTTCTTGAGTTTTAATACTGTTTACTTAATTTACCAATTCCCTGGAAATATAGCTCAAAGAAATTGTAAAGTTAATACAATAACTAAATAAGAATTGCGACTATGTTACCTGTTTTTGATACCTGAGATAAATTTGAACTTTAACTTATTATAATATTGGAGTTAGGAATCACTAACTGTAGTAAGTTAAAAATTAAATTATATTTTTAAATATACTATTT